CACCAACATTGAGCATATTCTTCTTCTCCCCTCATAACACCCTATATATCGAAAATGAAAGCAAATGAAATGTTGAATTCAGTCTTCAACGAATCCTTATATTTTATCAGCCATTTGGATATCACAAGATATTAATTGATCTCAGCAATGCGTTCAGTTCTTAATTACACAAATACGCACGGTTGTTTTTATCGAACTCCACCAAACCCATTGCATATCTTGAATGATTACTGAACAAACAGAAATATGACTGAATGCTAAATATGTTCTTCGAGCATTACAACAGTTATGAAGACCTCAAACTTTTAGCAGCCTTTGCCTCTTGTCGATGCTGTCGATAAAGAGACCTCCTCTCCGTCAACTGCTTTATAATGAGGTCAGTAGCAGCGTCAAAATGTCCGTCATTCACCTTGCCTATACTTTTCTTTTCATCACTCTGAAAAGACTTTCCATCCATCAACTCAAGACACATTTTTACTTGCGGTTTACTGAGTTGTTTCGAGATGCATTGGTTGAAATGCTACGAAACGAAACGAAATGCTCTCCTATGCTGCCAAGTCTGTAATTAGCATTCCCTTCTATCACCTGTAATTTTTTATCCTATTCTATTATAATGTGATCTTCTTCAGTTATTTACGGAGTTGCGTTGCCTATCGAACTCATCAGAAAATACCATTAGAGTCGTGCAAAAACTATTCAATTTAAGGAAAGGTGTTCCAAAACTCACAGACTGCAATTGTTCTTCTTTACACATTTCCTCGCTTTCTCTGAATTGTTCGTGAGGTTCCGCGGATGATTCTTGACAGGTCATCGTAGATTGCTGACTTAGTGTGGGTTGATACAAAGATGACGCATGATTAGCTGGATTATTTGCAATCCATCGCACCCATGGCTGTAATTAATCTTTTCCTTTACCACCTATAATCTTTATCACATGCGTTCCTATATCATATGTTTGGAATTTACTTCAGATTTGTAAAAAGACGCATTTCCAAACGAATTATTCAGAAAATGCCATCAGAGTCATGCAAAAACCATTGAATTTCAATGGTATATTTAGTAAAATCACTTTATTTGATATAAATCGCATTGCATTACCAAAACAAACAAAAACAAGACTGATTTTAACGAACATACAGAATCGAGTGATNATCTCAAGAATTGGACTCTCGCCGTCGTACTGCGATTTTGGGTCGCTGTTCAATCTGCACCATACATTGTATGCTACATTTGGTTTCACATTCACAGGATCATCGAAAAGGTGTAGAGGATCAGCCAGATACTGCAATTAAGATTTTAAAGTTATAAATGAAATGAAAGTATCCATTGAGAATCGTTCATTGATCTGCACACCGACTACTGATTCTCACTTCCC